TTAGTATGCGGGGAGACTCGTATGCGCACCAGAATCCGGTACATCTTGGCTGGTACGGTATTTCCGGGGGCCGCTGTGAGTCTGTATTGAAAGGTATAAATGTTTACATGATTTCTTAGTGCGAAAGTACACAATTGTTCGTCATTGTCTTCTGCTGTGGTCAGCGATACAATTTCCACTTTATGCCATTTAGCGACCAGAATCTGTAATCATACAGTTTTGAAGGCAGTGATAAGGCGAAGGGTTACTTACTGCTACTCTAACATTCTACGTATATTGGGTGTATCTCATGCAGACTAAAAATAAATGAAAAATTCAGAGTTTTGTACAAAATGTTTGTACAGAACTCGCTCTTTCCTGTCTCTTCTCTCTTCTCCATGCGTGTGCGCTAATACGGTTCAAATGTTTACCCGCCTAATCTAGGCATATTACTGGGACTCGTTGGCATCAAAATACTATATTACGGCTTACAGTGTGCTAATAGACAGGGTTCACGCATTATATGACAAGTCGTTTAGAAAGGTATAACTACAAAAACTAACAACCTGAAACGTGGGGAATATTGAAAAAAAAAAAATGAATCGGTGCCGCATTAAAGACTAGTTATTGAAACCATGTAGCCAAAACCGTGTGATCTTTAAAAATTAATTTAGAGAGATACAATAGAAGTGACCAGCCATAATAAGGCTAATAAAAATGATTATTATTGCACTAAGATCAAGGTGGACCAGAAAAGTCATCAATATATTAATTGACAAAAATGCAAAAACTAACATTGATACTAGAATCAGGAACCATTTACTGGACAATGATGATTACCGGAGGTTATCCAATTCACTTAGCAATAGTTTTGTTAAGGCTGCAAGCGAATTAAGACACAGCATCAATCCAGTACAAGCACATGAGTCAGGCAAATGGTCTAACTGGAAAGTTTCGGCATATATGCCCGACATGACGGGAGGATGATTTAACGAGTAGCTTAAGTTTAGTGCCTATAACAAACTCTCCATGAACAGAAAGAATGCCCGTGCGAGACACGCGATATAACATCGATACGCTTAAATATTTATTATTTTAGTTATCCACTGTGTCGTTTACATCGGATAAAATCCGAAGCGCATTGAAAGTCTCGATAAGTTTGCCAATATACAAAGGTGGAAGCAAAAAGTAATGTGCAATCGACAGGCCAATATATGTTTCTCTGTTAACATGTAAATTCTAACACTATTTTGAGTGTTAACACTAACATATATTTTGGAAAAACTTCCATTTTTTAAACTCTAGTGAAGAAGGAAGAGCAGCGGAGCTGTAGCTTCTGTTTTCGGCAGTGGCTTTCCAGGCGAGCGATCTGCTCTTCTTTCGCAAGGTAATCTGAAGCGCTCGACGCAGTGAAACTTTAGTCGATAGCGGCTTCGCGGCGGTTGCAGAACCATACGCGCTGCTGCGCACATCGCCGCTTGTTCAGCTACCGCCCTTCTTCCTCCGAAGAAAGGTTGCCGTCATCTATGAGCGACGGCGGCAACCAGTTGTTTGGTGGCCGCCGTCGCTCAAATATGGCGGTAGCTGCCCAGAGTTCGGTGTCATAATTTTTAATCCGGCGGGCACGATCCTGGGGAAAATAGCCCTTTACAGCTCCGCTGTAATAATGACCAGCCTCACCGCGGAACCTTCATTTTGTTGCCGTCTTTGAGTGAGAATGTGCGTGCGTAATGAGCCAGAGTTTCTACAATGGCAGGGGGGACAGTGTTTGTTCAAATAGCCGAAGTTTTTGTCTGTGAAATCTGAGCGACAATAAATCGCCTACTCCGGCGCAAACACCCCAGCTCACCAACGCTAGTGTCGGTGACGGTTTAAGAGTTCAGTGGAAACTCCTCCCACCTCTTTCCAGCCTAGCAGCTAGAACGAGCGCTGGAGAGAAGGTAGCCTCCTCTCCAGCTTTCGCTTCACTCAAGTGGAAAGCGGTGAGAGGAGCTTCCTCCGAACCCTTGACCTGTCACCGTCTATCACATCTTCCCTAGAAACACTTGTCTCCATAGACATGGGAACCTTCTTCGAGCCCACTCAGTGGATTTACTCCTTGCCGCTCACGGACGTCCCCGCTTTCCCTAACCAAGGGGACTGCTAATTTAGATAGGCGCAGCTTGCGTAAGCGCAATTTCAGACACTAATGGCAGCTAAAATTATCGCCTGTTCCCGCTGTTTTGGCGTTCCATGATGTATGTATTTTCCGGACGACATTGAGAATGTATTGCAACACTTTTCAAACAGAAACAAACTGTAATCTAATTTGGGGGTACATGAGAGGGAGCGCCAAAGCGACTGGATTGTTTTATTTCTCGGTGAGTTTTATGAGGATTCAGAGAAAAGCTGTTAGGTTTATCTTCAAGAAATTCTGAAGAAAGAGATCACCGTCAAAATTAATGCTTCAAAAAGATTTAACACTGCTGTCATCCAGAAGAAAGATAGCCCGGCTAAAAATGCTTTCTCTAATCGTCAATGGAACCATACGAATACCTCAAGATAAATATATCGCTTTTTCCCAAGGGACAAGCACTCGATTCCCACACCCGAAAACAAGTATTTAATGTCGCTCTCGGGTAGATGCGTTTAAGTACTCTTTTTTTCCGCGCACCGTGTCCGATTGGAACAAACTACCTCGAGATATAGTCAACTGTGACTGTGTTTCTTCGTTTCTTCAGCAACTGTTATCAACTGTATAAATATGATATTTTTGCAATTGGCGCCTCACTGTCAAAGGCGCTCCACTGTTACAACTCTTGTGTCATATTTGCCACTGTCTGCAAGATAGTCTTTATGTAATTGTTCATGTACTGCTATGTGTACACTTGCCGACACACTGCTCTCAATTGAAGCTCAGAGTTCTTTCGTGTCATTCTGGTGGCGGGGGCCTACACTTACATTGCAAGGATCTTTTATACATAGTGCTTCATTGTTGTGCCACTCCTATTATATTCAATGTATTAGAATAATAGTATTGATAAAAAAAACAAAAAAACTCCGTCGCCAGCTTAGCCGTGTTCATTGACAAGGCGCTTAGGCCTCTTAAATAATTTAGAACAAAGTATAGCCGAAAGACATGCATATCTAACGCGCAAGAATAATGTGATTACCACGCTACACTACAGAACTTGAACATTAAACTTAGCAAAAGTCAACATTCGAAGAATATATTGAACGTACCACACTATACAGCGTCATGCGAAAAAAAACAACACATTTATTTAGGAAAAGTATTAAATAACACCAGCACAACAGCGTCGACCACACTCACATTTAAAAAAATGGGACGAAACTCAAAATGAACTGTTTTTGTGATATGTTTTGAGGAGAGCTTCCTTTTATCACAACACAAACACGAAGCTAAATGAACGAACTGAACTTGTTCGTTTCCGACGCCAACCCGAACAGCTATTTTTGGCGATGAATGAAAATGTATCTGCGGGGATTATATCTTGGAATGTAGAGACGGTTTTTATTGTAGAGAAAATCGCGCCGAGGGCCGTTGGACGTTCTTCCCTTTGATTCTTTTGAATGTCGAGTAGAGAAGCTTGAGGGCATGCCCTTACCAGCCTTATTCCTCACAGTGTAAGATAAGATAACAATGACATGCAGCGTACACAAGGAAAACAAAGTTTACACTTTCAAGAGAGTTTGGAAAACTTGGAATGCAAAACTTTCTAGCTGATAGGGGGAGTGAGAGTCTCAGCAGCTGCATCATCGTCAGCAATATGGTGGCGTCCTAGGAGTGTTTTTTTTTAAAGTGGTGTAGGTGGTACTTTTGTGTTTTTCCCTTTCTGCTGGTTTCCTGGATTTCCGAAAAAAAAAAAGCGTTGCGCCGACAAGGTTTTTTTTGTGAATAATCAGCACAATTTGAATACCTCTGAACACGTTCGTGTCGGGGTTTACCTGAAGTTGAGGGCAACTGCGCCCGGTTGCAACAAGGCTCAGACAAAGAAGCGCTAAATATCTAGACACCAGCACGACATCAACCTTTTTTCTGCGCGATTTTTAGTTTTAGCAGGAGCGATTTGTCCAGCGTTTTCTGAAACACCATATATATATATATTTAAGTCAGAGGTCCGTACTCGCGGAGTTGCTATGCTAGGAGTTTATTGCATGTATTACGACAGTTTCGCCGAGAGGCTCGGCTTCGTCATCTCCCGTCGAAGCCGAGCGTCTCGGCGAAACTGTCGTAATACATGCAATAAACTCCTAGCATAGCAACGCCGCAAGTACGGACCTCTGATTTATTACACTTTCCTGGTCTATTGTTGTCAAGCTACTCTGCCTCACCTATATATTTATATATAGTGTTCTCAGGCTTTTGTGTCTTTTTTTTTGCAAAAATCAAGCGAATTGATCTAAAATTTATTTAGTCCATAAATGCTTTTGTAGCGTGAGATACACTGGCCAAGGTTGAGCAGTTTCGCGTGGATCGCATAATGAGCCATGCTCCGTGCTGCACATGCGTGAGGAGCAGTGAAGTCACACGGCGCAAAGCTGGCGGGCCGGAGCCTCCGCGGCCGCGCGCTCCGCCGCCGCCGCGCCCGCCTCGCCGTTCTGCGCATTCCAGAGGAGTGACGTCATTGCCGCGGAAGACGCACTGTCGCCGCCGCGTGCTCAGCTGTGCCTTTCCGTTGCGCAGTAGCCAAGTGTGACGCTGCACCGGAGCCGCTCGATAGCGCCTCTCATTTTCTGCGCATAAGCTCACGCTACGTTTATCCTGGCATATCCGAGCTAAGCCAATGCAATTTTTTTCATGAGCGAACATACCTCTAAGAAAATATTGTTGTAGTTTTTATAGTAGTTACTAAGAAGAAGCGTTTAAGCTACTGCTTACAAAAATAGAAGTGTAATTGAAATTAGCTATAATATTGGGAACTGCAGTCATTTCAGTTGAGTTGTTGATGTGCGCACATCTCGGCGCATTAAGGCCTTCAAAGAAGTCATAAAATAGATGACGCCTTCCATCGCTGCAGGTGAAGGTTGTGGATGCCGAAGGCAGGATTGTCCCCTTGAACACGAGGGGAGAGCTGTGCACCCGAGGTCTCCACGTCTTCAAGGGCTATCTCAACGATGAGGCCAAGACAAATGAAGCCATCCGAGACAACTGGTACCACACGGGGTAAGAAGGGCAGCAGCATCAGTCGAATCTGCGACAGCTATGAGAAAAATTTCCACAACACTAAAGAGAAAATACAGATAGTTCCCACGGCACGGCTCCCAGAAACTGCCTGCTAAAGAAGAGGGTGCGAAACGACAAAGGCAGGCAACTCAACTGAACGGAAAACGTGTATTCATTCCCGAAAGAGATTTACCGATACGCTGAAGACTGTATGAAATTGGGCAACGTTGTAGTTCATCAACATATTCGTCTCCATTGATAAGTCCTTGAATTAAAAAAAAATAAATAAAATCAATGCGTCGTAATAACCTTCTTGCAAACAAACTGGTATTACATGACAAGTTAAGCTGCAAGTAACACTTTTATACTTAGCTTCAAATATTCACTCGTAAGAGTACGAACATGTACTCTGCTCGTTGGTCAGACACAGAAGGCTAGCAATAACTAATGAACCTCTTTCGGCATCAATTTCTACTTTCGCTTCAAATTTTACACCGAGATCCATTAAGAACTAGAAGACCAAAATAAACTTTAGTTTTTAACCAAACCCGAAGGTCCTGAGTTTGTTACCGCAATATTGTCACGTATCACATCTGGTACACCATGCAGTTTGAGGTATATCTTATAAACATGAAGAAAAAGTTTTTTGTTATTTTTTAAAATTGGGCTTAACAAAACTAGGAGTCAAAATGTGAGGACATGCAAACTTTCCTTTAAAAAAGACATTTTCTTTGTGACAACATGTATTAGTATTGCACTGAAACATTATGAATATCACTCATTGGTGTGCCTCTGTAGTGCTGAGATTCTCATTGCTGCGCTTCTAATGAAAATACTTGAAGCAGTGGCGCTTTCTGTTGAAATACTGCGCAATGTAGCCTTTGCGGCACGACATATTCGCGAGGCGAGCGATGGAGGGCAGCTTGCAGCGCTGTCGTTTTATGTGGTACACCTTGCATTGGCGGATATCAATTGTCAGCAGTGGTGCCATCGGGGACCTCCTCTTGGACGTCTAAATGAGCGCGTTCTGCTCACAGCTGGGTCACTCAGTGCTCTTACTTTGATGCGGCTTTCCTGTTTTGCACAATGCTTCTTCAACACACGACTTGAATTCAAGCAGTGATGTCTCTGTTTCTCTGTCTCCGCCAGAGAAGCCAGGCATTCACCACTGTCGGGTCTGTCATATGCAAAACAAAGAACGGAGATACCACTATTTTTATTGAATTCTGATTGGATAGTATCCCAGCATCGAGTTCAAAAGGTCTACTCCGCCCATGTGCATGTTATAAACGAGAACAAGGCTTGAAAAGGTCACGATCTTGTGCGTCTTCTCTATCGCGAAGTAACGCTTGACTTCTCGAGCAGGTTTATGGACGGCAAAAGTGGACAGCAAAGTGACGGTTTAGTTGTCATGCCATGCCACTGACAAAAGTTTCGTTCCAGCCACCTCGCACCCTCTTTCTTCATAAGCTCCTCCCACTTTCATTTCACTTCCCTTCGGGAGTGAGCAGCCAGACAATCGATTTTCCCGCAAAGTTCCGACACAATCGACTACCTCTTTCTAAAAAACTACTTGGAGAGAAACATGCGTAAACCAGCTTTTAAAGTGCAGCGAGCGGTAAACCTTCCTCTGGATGTTGTGGGCTACCCTCATGACCACGTTGCTGCTTGGACCCAAGTCAGGTTCACCTGGGAGATGCTTATTGTTCAGAACACCGCTGAACACTTCAAAGTTATTCCGCTGGTGGATACTCCACTCAGCACGAACATCTTGTAGCCCCAGCGGTGTGGCGTCTTTGGGTTGCTGAGCTCCAACGAGCTACGTTCCTTGAAGGGCACGGCCTGTTCATCAGCGCAAAGCATTTTTTTCTTGGCACTCGGCTTAAGTGCTGACGTAAAATGTGAAGCAGTGGTCATATCTTGTGTAATTTGTCATGTCAGCTTCACCTGGAGGTAAAAACTTGTCGTTAATGTGCAAGTGGAAAACCCGCTTCAGTTCCTCCGAGCGGTTCAGGCTCATCACATTTAAACCTTTTCGTGACCAGTGCTGGAGAACCAGTAGCGGCGGTTGCTTGGGAGCAGAATAATCGACAGATAAAGCACCATGCCGACGAACCTATCTAATTCATCTACCGTCGTTGAGAGAGGTCTTTCAGGACGGTATTGTGTCCGGAAGAGCATGGTCTCCTCACACATCGTTGCGAAAACCTCATCAGGACAAAATCAGTTAAAGAGGTGAGATGGAGTATCAGATTCAGGATACTGGACGTTAGGCTTATATCCGGATTAACTACATTTTTTTTTTTATTTCTTAACAGGCAGCATTTCTTCTCCTTCCGGTTGCTCTTCGGGGAGCGTTTTTCGCCTTTGACTCGTACTACTGCTGAAACAGCTTATCCTCGCTTTTTTTTCTCACTTTCTGAATACTAATTGGTTGTTATATCAGAATGAGTGTGACGTGGTAGTATCTCTTTTTTGCCAATATCGGAGAGATGTGGCCGCTGCCGCTGCTCCTGTCGCCATCTCCCCGAATTCGGCGGGCTCCGCTCTTGACCTCTTCGTAAAATATGTTGTCGTCCATTACTTGGCATTGATAATCACTTTCTCGTTAATATTCTTTTCTATCTTGAATTATCGGTTCATTAGTTACTCTAGAAACGCGCGCTCAGAAGGTTCGTTGCATTCCAATTACTGGATAATCCTATGTTCTACAGTCTAGTGTCAACTGTGCATGCACACCACTCTTCGTTACCTTGGATTGCTTCTTTTGGTAATATTTTCTGAGATAGAGTTACATCAATGTTAAAGGGATCACGATAGGCTTGCAGTAAAACATTCGCCGAGGCAGCTGAAAATGGGAAACCCACATCGTAGCGCCTCTATTTTTATGCGTTTTTTTTTTACCCAGAGTGCCATGATTGGAACTGCCCTTCCGCACGTATTTTATCATTTACATGTCGATTTAGGCAACTTGATTCACTGATTTCTTAACCAAAGGCGGAAAGCAGAAGGATGCAGAAAAGAGGGGAGTGTATCCCTCTCCTCCTCACCTTCATTTCCCCTTTTCTCTCCTCCTCCTCTTCCCTCCTCCACCTCGCCTCCTCCTCCTCCTCCTCCCACCCCCCTCTCCTCTTGCCGCTAAATTTGTTCATAGGTGACGTGACATTAAGTCGCGACGTGATTTTCCCCGCAAAGTTTAGCGGGGAAACTGAATTGGGTTTTGAGGGCACGTGACGTCAATTTCCACGCTTAATTTAGCGAACAAACTTAACCCGCTAAATTTAGCAGAAAACTTTCCCCGCTAAATTTATTGGAAAATTTCTCGCTAACTTTAGCGGGGAAACGTCCCATAATGCAACGCGCGCGGTTACACCGACGGCGACGGCGACGACGCTCAAGCCGTAAACGGGCGCCTAAAAGCTGCGTTCTGAAAGAGACTGTTTTGGAGCAAGATTTACACCGCAAAACGTATTTGTCTCATTTCCGAATGTGTTTAAGAGTTTCTGTACCTAATCTGACGTCTAGAAGTAGTAGCGCGTTCGAAAACGCTCGTAACTCAAAATCTGTTGGGAGGTTAAAAATTGCTGTAAAATATTGCTTTTACGAGATATAGTTTAGTAACCTAAGTGGCTCAACCCTTTCCTTAAAAGTAAATTTTAGGATCTCAGTGTTTGTTTCAACATCGCGTTTTTATTTAAGTATGTTATACTGGTGAAGTTGGTTGAATAAACGAAGTGCTATCTGCCACGCCTTCGAGACTCGAGTTAAGTTACAAAGGAAATGAGTAAAATTGCTGCGTTCAAATATTTCGTTTTCCTTATTGAACACCCGTTCGCAGGGACGAGGGAACAATGGACGAGGACGGTAGACTTAGATTTGTGGGCCGCATCAAAGAGATGATCAACTTCATGGGTCTAAAAGTGCCGCCACTGGAGATCGAGAACATCCTGAACTCGCACCCCGCCGTGGAAGAGGCGCAGGTATGTTTCAAAAAGTTCGGTACGTGGTACAAGACGTCCAAGAGCAGACCCATTACTTGTAGTGTACTTTGTATCGACTGGGCCGTCTAGGCGCATTTTCTTGCATTCAAAGTCAGCAAATCGTGGTTACGGGTTTCATTAACATCCGTTTTCTAGCTAAATTTATAGGGAAAATTAGCGTCAGGTTACAGGAGGTTTCATTCAACCAGTGACAAGAAACCATGCTTCACCGCTTTCTCCATCTCGAAGTAACGCATTAAATGCATACACAATAGGCTGTACTAAGTTCGTGCAAAAGCCGCGCTTACATACTGGACTTTATGGCAATGATGTTCAGAATCTTGAAAAGGTTGTCAGCGATAGTTCAGATATTAGCTATTTTTATCAAGTACCTTCGGTACATAAGTTGAATTTGTTTTTAAATATTATGCACACCCGTGCATTAAAGACTTGTCTTACCTTGTCTTTTTCGCAGTGGATGTTTCAAAATGAGTCAACTTGAAGTGTTGTTTACAGAACGCTATATTTTCACAATCTTTTTTTCTTTTATATGATTTTTTTTTTGTTTTTCGCATAACTTGCTATTCAAGATCTCTCTCCTTGCAGGAGCTTAAGTAGTTTGCCGTTCGTTCCCAATCCTCTAGTTATTCTAAAAAAAAAAGTCCGTACCCTGAAACAGTTAATTTTATGAAGAGGCTTTGCTCAAGTAATTGTTTAACAGAGTTATTTCTTCCTTACCATCGAAACTGGATATAATTTTGAAATATATCTACAGTGAATAACATATTCGTGCAAGTGATATTTCTTGATTCAGATCGTTTTTTATTGGCACCATATTTTGTCACACCATGAACCACTAGCTACGTAAGCCACAATATAACACTAAATTTTCAAACAATAAGCGAACAGGCAGCTAACTTATTGATAAAACGTGGAACGTATCTATTGAAAGCAAAGATTTTTAAAGAGTTGTACACCCTACGTCTCAACAAAGGGTCACACAAGAATTATGTGAACGATCTGCAACTGTGAAAGCAAATCGCCGTTGTGATGAGCTGTCATGGTGTATTTTGTGATATTCTTTGAGTGCGTTTTTACCGTGAGATTAAAACTTAAAACTTTATAGCTCCAAGAGCAGCTCGTTTTAGAGTGTTTCGAGACTCAATCTTTGACTTAAATTACAGTTTGTGCTAGTTTGGCGTTTACATAAGGCAAATAAAGTTATTTCTTATTTTTTTTAACCTTTCGGCAGGTGTTTGGAGTACCGGACGAAGAGGTGGTTGAAAAGATATGTGTTTGGATCAAAGCAAAACCAGATAAAACCTTAACCTCAGAAGACATCAAATCCTTTTGCAAGGACAAGAAGGTATATGCATAGTTCAGGCATACTAAAAAGAACTGCAAACATACGCCCATGTACTCTTTACACAAGCAATCGAGCGTTGCCTCCTAATGCAGAACGCGTAATTCAACTTACATTTGCAAGTTTTCATCCCGGAGAGCGTGGTGCCACTCCTCCAACGTTCAAGGACATGCCCTACAATGGTACTTGGGACATTTAGTTAAGCCACGACCTGCATATGGCGAGTAATTTCAGACCCCAGGTTGCTGAAGGTTAAAGAACGCGCAAGCTTCGTGCTACTAGAAGCTGGGAGATCGTTAAAATTGTATAAGCACTGGAGGAAAGCAAAAATATATATTCCATTTCTGTGCCACCAAGGAATGCCAAGGTAGTGGGGGGAAAAGCTATATTGAGTTTTTTTTTTAGAGCGTAGCTCTTAGGTGCCCGTTTCCGGCTTGAGCGGCGTCGGCGCCGGCGTCGCCGTCGCCGTGGGCGTAACCGTGAGTTCACGGGACCCCCGTGAGGTCACTTGACCTCCGTCATATCACGTGACTCCGTGAGCTAAGGTGACCACGGTGACGTCACGTGACCCCCGTGAGGTCTCGTGACCCCGTGAGGTAACGTGACTTCCGTGATGTCACATGACCCCCGTGAGGTTACGAGTGTCACTTGACCTCACGGTTACGTCGATAGCGACGGCGACGCCGACGCCGCTCGGAGGCAGGATGAGAAGGTGAGGAGAAGGGAAGAGGGGTATATGGCTTCTTTCAGTACCCTTCCCTCCTCCTTCTCAAGAGCTGCGCTCTAATTCGGTGTTACGGGGGGTTGTAAGCGACATTAATTTTTTGTTTAGCTGCCATGCACTCCAAACAAACCTTATAATTACAGCTGCCGTGGTACAAGGTACCGGAATATGTGCTGTTCGTGGACTCTTTCCCGAGGACTCAGACCGGCAAAGTTCAGAAGCATAAGATGCGCGAAGACAGCAAACGTCTCCTGAATTTGTGAAGAAAAACCATCGCGGGACAAAGAAATATACAATATATGCTTTCTAAAAGCCTAATTCGACTCGCATTATTCGCCCAGGTTATCCGAAAGTTCCAAGTCCTGTTAATAAAATGCAATAAAAACATCCTGCACTTCTCTGGTAGTTATTTAGATACGGCCCGCCCAGTACGTAATATATAAACCTTGGACCTGTACACGGATTGGATAACATCTGTGGAATGCCACTTTGAGATACGAAGTAAAAACTGGAATTTTCACATAGAATGTGTTAATGGGCTGAATTTGATGCGAAAAACACCACAAGCCGAGGCAACATAATACATGCATTAGCCCACAGCAGGCGATGCAAGACAAACAAAACATACAGAAGTTATTCATACATAACCAGGCACAATTAGTCGCAACCGGCGATATTCCAAGGGGGCTCAGTGGAAATCCAACCCCGTATAATGCGATACGCAAGCCGAGCCTTTGATCAGTGCCACAATGAGCTGGTGAAAGAAGGCACAAGCTGCAGTATTAAGTACGACTTCCTCTGAAGGGCTCCTGGAGTTACACGTGACAGTCGGCGGCGAGGGATAACCCAAGCGTACTTAGTACGAAGGAGGTTGTTGACGGTGAGTCAGGCACGTAGCCAGGATTTTGTTTCGAGGAGGAGGTGGGCGGCCATGACAAAATGCTGTATGAGGGGGAGGGGGGAGAGGAGGCCTCAGCAAAATGAAAGATTTCGGGGGGGGGGGGGGGGGGGGCCCGGGCCCCACGGCCCCCCCCCCCCCCCCCCTGGCTACGTGCCTGCGGTGAGTCATACTTGGGTCGGCATACTTAGTCTGCAGTCGGCATTCGGTCGTAAGTGAAACCTAGCCCGGCATGTTTAGTCCGCAGGCATGCTTTCAATGGCAAAGTAAACTTAGTTCTGCGTACATCGCCTGCGAACGGCCGTCGGCAGCAAGTCGTATTCAGTCGGGTGCACGTTCCTCGAAAAAGTAATCTATTAAAAATACAATACCTTTTGATTAAAATGTAGTCAGTTAGATCATTTGACTACTTAGGAAAAAGGTAATTGGCTGTTATTTGAAATAGTGACCCTTACTTTTTGAATTACTTAAGATTCTTTAAACAACATATTTTTTCTCGGTTTGAAAACGGGTATTTCGTGCTGTTTCGAAATTGATTAAATTTATTAGAAGCACAGAATTACAAACTACTAATATTCTCAAATCCACGACTTTTAGTGTACCATCCTTCTGTAGAAGACTTCCTTACGTGATTTCTTAGTAAGGAATTTGCAGAAAGAATGGGCGTCATTAGAAAGGGGAGGAGAAAATGGTAACGGTCAGAAATAATTTTAGTACATTCAAAAGCAATAGAATTTTACTTTTGATGACTTCCTAATAAATATATTCAGTTGATTGCAAAAATGATCCAAAACGTAATCAAATATACGTAATTTGGGCACTTAATTATTTTGAGTACCATACAGGTATGGTCGTATTTAGTTCAACGTCATCATTCTGTAAGCGACCCTCGGCTCACGCACCTGACTTACGAATCACGAAGCGTACCTTTCCTACCTAGACTGACAATACCGCGGTCTGGATCATAACTAGTTGTCACAGAATTCAACAGCTATTTTTGCCCTTCAATGGTTGTGGTGTTGTCCGTTCCCGTGTTTGTGAGTGGGGTGCGCGAGCGCCGAGGACAGGAGCACGAGCTTAGCCCGCGCGCGCGAGGTTTTTGTGGAACACACCGCGGAGCAAGGTTGCGACGGTGTGGATGGTCGGCGCTGAGCAGATCCGCGTCGGTATGGTTCTTCGAACACCGAGAAGGTATTCGAAGGAGAGGGGTGTGAGTGCTTGTGAGTGAGTGTTGTGCTTCACTACAACACCCAAGCCACCTTGGCTTCTCGACCCCGACTGGCGGCGCAACGGACCGGACCTCCACCTGCACCTTGGAACGCTGACTCGGCTCTCCCCCTCCAAAACTGTATGACAACCTCGATTTGACTTTTGATATTTTTTTTTCTTTCATTCTTTCGAACGTGTGTACGTCCTGTGCGCCTTTCCCTTACTCTTGAATTATTTTTTTTATAAAATACGGTTCGTAACGTCGGCATGCTTTGCTCTCACTTCCTCCCGCCTCTCAGGATGTCTATCGCCAAGGTGTGGTCCTAACACCTGGACAGCGGTCCAAGTCAAATTCCAAATTTGTTTGTTTAAACGGGATCATTCACATCCGAACCTGAGACACTAGTGCTTGTATTTTTCGGTAAATACCGATAGACACCCCCCAAAAAAAGCCCAAATTGGTTTAATCTATATCAGAAAAAAAAAATAAAAGCTCATTCCACCTGTATTTACGCTTGAAAAACCAAAGCTTCATTATAATGATGTTTTAGCTATAACTCTACATAGTGACGTCCAGAATACACACCCTACTAATCCGCGAGGTCCATTGTTTTCTTCGAAACCACATTCCTTATCCCGTTTAGATATCGTAACGCCAACGGGATCCTTTTGAAGTACGAGGTTAACTTGCATATTTCTTGAAGGTTTTGGAAACCCCTTGAACGTGACTTGTCTTGTCTGATACAAACCCTAACAAAAATGGTTATTTTATGCGAGACACAAATTTGGCGTGCAAAAATGCAGAGCCTTTTTTAGAAAGAACAAGAGCGCAGGAAAACAAGACACTTCACAATTCGACGAAAAATAAACGCAAAATACACATTCATAATCCTAACGCACCAAGGCCTATAGTGCAGCGAATGTAAAAAAATATGGCACACATGTTGAGGCAGCCGTCAAAAGATAGCGTAAATGGCGCGATAACACTACTTTCGTCGCGATCATGGCACGTATCACAAGAAACGAATCGCAATTTAAGAGTGCTAAGAATTCGATACCATAGACCCGCCAATGAAAAATGCAGAACCACGTGTAAAACCCCTCTCAAGAACAGGGTTTTACGCACTTCCCTGCTGAATAAATTAATAGCTTAGTTTGTTGGTCTTATGAACCCGAGATACCTGGGGTGAGGTGTGCGCAGCCTGTACGGATCTATCCAAAATCCCCCTAAAGAAACAAAGTGATTTATGACTTACTCATAATTCGCACACAACATATTATGTGCTTTTAGTGTTGATAAAAATGAGCACGACAAATTTAAGTGTGTATTTTTTTGTTTCTCCCACCTTTACCCAGTAGCGTTCTTTTCTGAAGTCTACGGTCTACCTTTGATTTTTGGGATGCAGGCACTGCTTTGGCGATTTGGGGTGGCAAAAAGAGGAACGTCCGCGATATTATTCCTACTAAGAATTCCTCATAAGCAGATGACTCGTGACGCAGAATGTGCGCGGAATGAATTACTTAAAAACTAACTAACCAAACTAAACAAACTGTGCTAAAATTATTCTTTATAAAACAATTATTTCAAGAATGTCGTTGCACTGTTTGTGCCGCGTGCTGACGTGATCCCGTTAGTAAAAGTTCGTCTTTATTTTTTTTCGATCTTAATTTAATGAGGACCGTTCTCGCGATCGCAACATCTCTGGAACTGAATAATTCTAATCCCTACCGAAAAATCCGGTATAAGTTTTCGCTATCCGGATTATGGAACTGGAAATCTATCCGGATTCTATCTGGATTCTATCTGGAATTTGGGTTTTCAGAAATGATGCCTTTGTCTACAATCTGGATTTCGGGTTTCCAGAAACAAATTTCTGGTTCCATAATCCGGATAGTGAAAATTTATACCGGTGTTTCGGTAGGGATGCGTATTAGCTAACCGTTTTCATGTAATTGAATCAGAGAACTTACAAAAAACATAAAGGTGTGGAGCCGGGCTTCGGTCCGAAACACCAAGAATTACAGAACAAATGTTTTTTTTTTGTTTTTTTCGAGCTTTATACAATACGACATTGTCTTAGAGCTAAGCTGCAATCCTGAAACATAATTCACCTAACTAGACCGCTAGCTTCAGAACACAGTTGAGACACAAGCAAGTGCAACACTCCAAGACATATTTAGCAGCAGACGTACTGTAAAAAAATACTTCTATATGCACCTGACAAAACTACAACACAACACCAGAAAAGTTTCAAAAAGAACAAGTAGAAACGATGTTGAAACATCAATATTGATTGTTTTCTGACACCGAGCACAAAGGAACCGTCTTTTTTTTATCAATTAGGGCAGTATATAGTACTGCTTCAGACGCTAACGCGTTCAGCGCTTGTACTTACGTTCCCGGCATTCCATTTAAAGGGGCACTGACACATCGAATTCATATATTTTTTTTAATCCGAAACGATTGAAAACGATGCCGGGACATGACCCTCAAAATTCGAAACTTGAAAATTCAGTATTTGTGAATTAAAAAAAAAAAAAAAACAATTTCCAAATGCCGAAATTGAAGTTCCCGCGCGATCCGCGCCAGTGCAGTGAGTCAAATTTGCGGTGTCCTGCGAGTCGACTTTCTTTCGGACCTTTGTCCACGCTATGAAGCACAGCGCCGTTGCCACCGCGATTCGAAGCGAGGAGGAAGTGAGCAGGCTGGATAGAAGGGCGCCGGCGCGGGAAAAAAACCGGATTCATCCCCGACTCGCCGATCATCCTCTGCTCGAGCGCCGCCAAGTTTTCCGAGGAAGCATACAAATACAGGAAGCAACATCACACCGAACTCTGATTTGTGGTATTTCAAAAAGAGGGGCCGTAGTGCGTTCGCAATTGCGTTAAAAAACATGTTTTGCAATTGCCGTTATTAAATGTTATAGAAATGTCGCCTACAAAGCTTCTCCATTTCCTGATTTTTGACTTCACCGATTAAACGAAGCAAGAAGGTGAGCGGCGGGAGATATAAACGCCAAAAATAAAAAGGGGCGCGCGCGCGGAAACATGTTTTTTCGCGATGGGGTTTTTGTTTACGTGTCTGTCAGTACAACTTGCACCATTTTAGACAATAAAAAAAATGCGACCTTTGAGGAGTCAGTGCCCCTTTAGCGCTGTGGTAATCGCGCATGGCACCGGTTCTTGCAGTTTT